AAAAAAAAAAAAAAAAACCACACAAAGACCTGAAACTTAAATGTATTAGTACTTAAGGAGACATTCTGGGCTCCTAAGCAAGTCTTTTAAGTGCCTTTGTGTTATTGTCTATCCATACTATACCTACAGGTTGCTAATGGGAAGATCTCCCTTCTAAGCCTGGGTAATTTTATATAAAATGATTAATATTTCTATTTATATACATATTAACTCACGATAAATTGTATTAAAAGGAGACTTTTATATAAGGCTTTCATATCCATAATACATAATTATGTTATATAGAACTTCATCGATAAAATGTATGCATGATATGTGCACATTCTTCATGAGATCAAGAACTTCATTATTCACAGGTGTTCACAAAGAAAAATAGCATCTGCATTTCAGATTGTTTCTCCTTGTTAAACAGAAGGAAAATGGCATGCCATAGCACCATGTGGATCCATTTTATAACAGATTTTTCTCAGTCCATCAAACCAAGAGGTCAAGATGCAGAGCAGGGAGTCATCTGTCACCAGCTCATATCCCTCTTTTCTCCAGGGATTCCTCCTAGCCATCTGCTTTACTAGGCGGTCAGCTTGGCCCACCTCTCTGATACCTGATTGGTATAAGGACAAGCACCCACTCCCTGCTCAGGAATGGCTCTCATAGGTACATTTAGTGCAAGGCATAACAATCAGAGTCCTTCATTCAAAGCTAGAAATTAGAGAAAAAGTCCATTTCCAGTGGCACATTTGATAAGAAATAAGGTGGGGAGCAAAAAAGCCAAAGTACTAGTCCATGGACAAGGGCATGCTGAGATGAAAGGAGAGATCTCTGACAGTGTTCAGGTATAGGTCCTGTCCCTCCTTGCCCATTCTTTAGTTTAGTCACATTGAGATAGTAGCCCTTCCTGTTTGCCTAAGCTAGTCCTCATATTTTTACTGCTTACCAAAAACGGAACTCCACAATTTCAGAGACTGAGCTACATTTCTTAACAGAGTATCACATAATATAGCATGCAAAGGACCCTCATTTTAGCTTCTTTTACAGAAGCATCAAGTTCTATTCAAAAAACAATCGATAGCTTCTGCTCTGTTTTAAATGGCTGTGTTAAGTAAAGAGATTGTCTTTCTCTGAACCCAAACAATAAGGGTGTTGATGTTTTACCTTTGATTTCTTTCACAAGGGTTAATTTACCATCCAAATCGTTGACAGAGTACTCCCTCACATAAATGTTCAGTTGGTCAGTTCCACTTCCACTGTCGTACAAATAAAACTCCAAGCACTGAAATCCTCGTTTAGGGTAAAATATTCTACTTTCCAGCACTGCTGTGCCACCCACATTTACAGACTGACTGTCAAAATGCATGAAGAAACCGGAGCCTATAAAGAGGACAAAAGCAGAATTGAGAGAGAAGAGACACTGGGTGGAGGAATGTGTGTTTGTTAAGAGTAGCGGGAGATCCTTTCCACATGGTTTAACGAATGTCAACCTATAAATCATGAAAACTTCAGGAGCCTAAGCTATAACTCTAGCACTTGGAACAGCTAACTGATAGACAGAATAAAACTCAAAAGCATAACTTCTAAAACATTTAATTAGAAGAGTAGGAGTTTGTTTGTGGGCACTGGTCTTTGCTTATCTTCATTTACCATGAGCTGTAAAGACACAACAAGCTTAAATTCAAATGCTAATTTAGAAAAAAAATCCAATGTGAGGTTTCAAGTCCTGTCTTAGCCCCAGGACCAAACGGTAGATTCTGCAATGAGCACCTGTCAAGCATCCACATCGGGCCTAGCTCCAAGTGGGAACAGCTGCCATCGGGAAGACACCACAGAGAGTTGTGCCCACTCTGAAAATATGAAAAGGGGAATGGCGATTAAGACTAAAGGAGAGCTTGAAACACGTGAAGAGTCTGTGTGTCCCCACGCTAATTTGAGGTGCAGCTGTAAGTACTTGAGGAGAAGTAAAACCAGTGAGCCAGGGCTGGGAAATCAGGCCCTTACTGATGTGCCCATTTAAAAAAGTACACTCTAAGTTCTTTGGCCTTAAGGAGAGAGAGAGAGAGAGAGAGAGAGAGAGAGAGAGAGAGAGAGAGAGA